TATTTGAATATATTTTACCAAATCAAAATCAAATTGTATTTAGTAATTAGGTTTTTATTTAAATTAATTTTTATCTTTATTTAAATAACGTCCATGTGTGTATTCTAATGATACCTTACTACCGTTGGTTTAGTCGGAAGACGTCTACTTGACCATATTTTCAGTAAGGGGCCACACAACAATAGCATTTATTAAGGTGCATTTTTCTATGTGCAATTTTTAAATTCTAAATAATATGTGTATTATGTATAAATTAAGTTTTTTTCGCTAAAAAGTATTATAAATATATTGGAATAGGCTAATTATTGATAACTACATTGTATTTTGTTGCTGTAACAACACAGTTTCAACAGTTTAAGAGATGAAAACCCGTATTATAGGTACCTACTCTGAACTTGCGCTACCCGCTGCTAAAGGTCGATTGCGTTTCCAGAGAAGTTAGTGACTTACGGTCAGATTCAGTTATCGATCTCGTCTTTGCTTCTACATGAATCTTAATGCATTACACATAGACACACGTTAACCGTGTGTGCTACACTTGCACCCTATTGCGTCGACTCGACAGCGACGTGGATTTTACGGGCCACCGGTCACCTCGTCGGGAGGAGGTCCTGCCAGCCATTGAGCGAAATTCCTTTGTACAATTAATAATAATCGAGTGGTTCATTGTGCGTGTGCAGTGTATGTATGTGTGCTGTGTTCGAAAATGTTGTACCTACTTATAGGGCGACGGTGGCGGGCACGTGACTCTTCGCACAGAGGGCTAAGCGCACGTACCGCCTACGGTGCCCCGTCGTCGCCGCCTTAGGATTAAAGTTCATTACTGGCAGACACCCTGTATTGTTAGCGTTCACTTCAATACAGTATAATATAATAATAATAATATTATTATGTATGCTGTACTCGGATACGTCGGCTCCTGCACTCGTTAGGCCGGTACAACGTGAAAACGTTGAAGTTTATATGAATTACTGAAATCGTTGGAAAGAGCTAGGGCTCGAGTTCCAGGCACAAGTTTCTTGTGCCTGGAATCGTGGACTTGGCTCAAAAAAGCTGACACCAAACAATTATTTTTAAAATTTATATAATGCGACCATATAATTAGTTGTGTATAAAATTTGAAAAAAACTTGAGGTTTCTACTGATTTAGATCAGAAATTTTTCTCTGAACCCGAAACAGTTAAAAACAAAACGAGCCAGAGGTATTATAGTTTGTATAGAGAAATGGCGACGGAGAAGCGTGGAAGAGATTGGAGTAATGTCACAATTGTGTCTTCACGGGAAAAATAAATGTTGAATGTCTTTAACATTTTGCCAAAAAAGTAATATTAACAAAAAAATTAAACCATGTTTGGTAGGAAGAAGAAACAAAGTTGTATTTAATATATATTATCATAATACTTATAATATAAGTAAAACGTGAGAAATATTTCAAATACTACGACAATATTTTGTACCTAATATTCTTCAAACGTTTGGTATCCTTATATAAAACATGATTTTTATATACTTTAAAAGTAATAATATCCTTAACAATATTTAAAAAAAAAATGTATATATTTTGCTTGCTACCTGCCGCAGATCTAACAATACCCATCAATTAGCCCAACAAGTAATTAGAGTACTTTTAAAATCATTATTTTATAATAATATATTACTGCGTCGAATGCAATTACCTCATTGTGACATTCGAACTTGCCAACTGTTTTTCTTTTTAATGATTTGCATGTGTCATTTAAAAATAGGTAAATATTTTGTTCCTAGAAATTCATTTAGATCTAATCTCATGTGCATGTCAATAATATTTTTGTATTTTCGAATTCGTCGCAATTATACATTATGCCGGATGAAACGTATTATTAGTTTGTGCAATTTGCATACGATATAAATGCCGCTATCGTTTGTGATATAACTACATTATAATTCACTGAAAGAATTACTCTGGACTAATTTTCTGCATTTGTATACACTATACATTTTGGGTTTAAATTGTGTATGTGTTTTTGTGTCCAAGTCTACGATTAAACGTTTTTTGGCCATCCTTCTTAATGTGAAGGTGTAAAGTCTTAAGATTTGTCAAACGTAAATTGCATGGCCTATGGGTTCGAGTATTAGTTTAAGTTGTATTTACAGCTTTATTAAATTGTGTTGACAACGAATATTATCATTTGATTTTCTTTACTTTAACTCATGCAAATGTGGACAGCCAGTAAAGTTTTACTATTTCATTTTCTTTTCTTTTTCCAACGTTTCCAAGTTCCCGGTTTCATATATTCTTTGATCTTAGGTCAGCTTAGACGTTTAAACTATTGTTTTTTCTCTACTGATTTCCCAACAAACTTTTAGACGGTCTTAGTCATGCGCATATGTATATTATAATACATAACCGTTCTTGTATAATAATTGTCAATGACCTACCTTAACCTATGACCATCTTTTTAGGTTCTTCTACTATTTTTGTTCCTTTCACATTTACTGTCGTTGAACTGTAAGATGGAGTTAATTTGCATATTTTTTAAGCCGTTTATTAACGTCAGTGCGAGTAAAAAATAATATTATGTAGTCGGCGAACGTTAGGTACAATCTTGTATTGTTAAAATTGGCGATTCGATCACCAACAGACAACAGTGTGTATAGTGCATAAGTGGATTAAGTGTACGAGTGCAACATAATATAATAGTGTTGTATACAATATGTAATTATTGTATTGTAAAATATATAGCACTCTCTTATTGGAGTGCACATGATCGCGTTCGTTATGAAATTAATGTAACCGGCATACATATACACACGCGTATATAATACATATAATGATAGCATAATGGCCAATTTGGTATAATGACTAGGTTACTCTCTGGGTTGATTCCGAATAATATATACATAATGTGAATATTGCCTCGCACGTTCACAAAAAAAATTATATTGAGGTAGGTAAGGAGCACGACCATCCGCTTTGGACTAAAACCGCGGCTGTCGATTCCAAGTCGACCGTGCATATCTTCGCATACGATTACGGTAAAACTGTGTAATTATAATATGTATAGTATAATTTATAATTGGCTCATCAAAATATTAAACAGCGTAAAAACTCATTATCGCGTGTACGGCCGTTGGAAATATGTATAAATTGAATCGTTTTCCATTTTCAACAAAATAACGCATAGGTATAATATAAAAACAATGGTGCAGTAGTATCAAATGAGAATTATTAGTATGCCATTAAAAAAAAACGTCGAAGAACAATCATGATTATTTGTTGTTGTTTTTGTTTTCATAAATATTTAACAGATTCGGCACGATACGGGTCAACGTTCTGTTTTGTTAATTAATTAGCATTTTAGCATAACACTATAATATAGCTGTTTCACATAGCAATGGTCTGACGCTGATTTTTTTTAATGAACACAATATTATACTTTTTTTAGCTTCGATGCGTTTTTGAATATATCAATCGGCAGAGGTAAACGATTTTTACACAAAAGAGTTCAACACAACAATCGTTCGGTTATACCCATTTTGGATTTTTCTAAAGCTTTAAAAATTTACCGTTAACATTAAACACGTGTGCTTGCATTTTCAATTAATTAATTACAGTATAACTATCTTCCTATTTACAGACGTTACTCTGGAATGCCTAAAGATAGGTACAATTTTGTATTTTAATTAAAATAATATAATCCTTAAGATGTATAACCCTTAAGACCGTAACCTTTAAAATTTTGATATGCAATATGACGCGAAACGAATTGTTCTTTTTATAAATAATATTAATAATCAATTTTATCTCTGCCCTCTACTCTAAAAATATAACGAACAACGTTCATATTTTAAATTTATTTTCTAATTGAATAAACTGGTAAAATGCAAATTAAATAAATATACATAAAGCAGCAAATCCGAATGTTGAAAAGTAAAATGAAGAAAAAGGCAGAGGGAAAAATAATCAAGAATATTATCAAGAAAAAAGAAGTATAAACTATCACGGTTATTTGTTTTTATTGACATTAAGTGCTATGAGTTATGACTGATATTGTTTTTCATTTGGGTGTGTACTTATGAACGTGCCCTCAAGATTCTACCCAGAAGACCTCGGAAAAACAAAACATTACTCCAGCATTTATTTACGGTTGGGGCACTTAACATAGGCGAAATCAAGCGGCAAGATGGCTTAGGCTCTTCCAAAACCACGACAACCTCTACATAGAATTTAAAATTTTCTCTCTGGTTGTGTATAATAATATGTTATTTAAATAAATAATTTATTCTAGTACTTAATTTTAAAAGTAAATATAAAAATTGATTTTTTGACTAGGTATCGTCCTAATACAATCTTAATTCTTTTGTTTAATTTATAAAATATAATTGAATTTTCTAATCACTGTATCTCCTTTAATGTATTGAAAATATAACAATAAAATACTTGGTACGCTCTTATCTAATACTAAAAAAACTAATACTAAAACCAACCTAATATTTATTCTTTATAGAGTTCATCCACGAAAACCCATTGAAGTTTAAGAGATTTGGAAAAATGATAATAATATACCTAGTACTTTTTTTTGGTAACGGGGATAACCCCAGTGCCCCCCCCCCCTGGATGTGCTCTTGTACATAAAGTGATATTTCTTAGTTCACTTATAGTACCTTTAAAGTTCGATCGGCGAGTCGTCATTATTATTATAATTTTTTAACATGGATATGTTATTATGTTGGATTATGAATAGAAGAATTTTCATGACACCATTTTCACGTTACACTTTCACTTTCAGTTAGAGATAAGAGATAAATGATAAGTGTTAAGAGATAACATAAATCCACGATTCAATGTTTTTCCGCGGAGCGGGGAAAATAATTAGTTTTTTTTTTCTTCGTGTTGTCATGACGTCTTTTTATTATTTTCAAAAAAAAACATTTTCGGTTATAAAACGAACAGATACACGTCTGTATTAAAATCGGCGAACAGTGCAATTTGATTGGCAATCAAAAAAACATTGTATTGTTTAAAAGTTCCGTGCAACGTCTACCGGATTGTTTGCAAAACTGCAACTGGCGCCGCCGCCGTGAATTTGTACGATTTTTCGTTGGGCTTTTCTGGTCGGGCGCGGTCTTCTGGTTACCTTGGCGGCCAACGGATGTTGCACCAACGCCGGCAGTGTGATGAAAGTGCAATTGGCGTTTCTGTCCACGGACATCACGGCTCCGGGATACCTTCGCCGTTTGTAATTCGGAGCGCTGAAAACGGTCACCAGCCGGTAGTCCGCAAAGTACTTGTAACCGCGGCGGACGCACTGGTGCGCCCTGACCACCAACCGGAAGTCGAACCGGTTGAGAAAGTCGACCACGCGGTCGGCGCCGAACTCGTACGACGTGTTCCTGTGACTGTTCCGGCGCCATCCCCGGACGTCGGAACACGGATCGGCCCACAGCAGATCGCACATGACGCCCCGCCTGGGCACCCGGGCCGGCCGCCGGATCTGGTCGATCTGCCGCAAATGTCGCAGATGCGGGCTGAGACCGCCGTGCACGCAGAATATCTGCCCGGCGACCACGGCGGCCACGGGCATCCAGTCGAACGCCCGGTTGAACGCGCGCCACACCCGGTGTCCAGACCGGCGGCCGTACTTCCGGACGCACTCGTCGTAGAAACCGTACCGGCGGTTGACGGACGAACTCTCGTGGTTGCCCCGCAGCAAGTACACGTTGTCCGAGTACCGCGTTTTCAGGGCCAACAGCAGCGTTATCACTTCGATGGACTGCGGACCGCGGTCCACGAAGTCGCCCAGGAACAGGAAGTCCGAGTCGGGCGGGTAGCTGGTCAATTCGAACAGTCGCAGCAGGTCGGAGTACTGTCCGTGTATGTCGCCCACCACGATTATGGGCGCGTGCAGCTTCAGCAACATGGGCTGTCCCATGAACGCCTGTTTGGCGGCCGCGCAGATGCCGCGGATTTGCCGTCCCTTGCGAACCGACCTGCCAGAGCCGCTCAACAGCTCGTCGATAATGCGTTCTGAGCAGGCCATGCGGACGGGCACACAAAAGACAGCGACCCGATTAATATACAGTAAAACAATAACGATTTAACTTCCTAAGCGACGCCACAGTGCAATGTTTAAACAAACAAAACCTGGCCAAAAACATTTGGTGGGCTTTTTACCGAGTTGAAGCGAATAATTAAAATAACGATGCTAGTTGTTTTAACAGTTGACATATTCATCGATTGCAATTTGAATTATTTTATCAAAGGCATTCAAACAACTATTAACATTATTATAACCTTTAAATACATAGGTATATTTTTTATCACTTAATAAAAATAATCTAACATTTGCAAAAGAAAAATAGAAACATTTAACTGTTTTAAGATCACATAGTACAAATGGCATGCGTGGAAATGTGTTTATTTATGGAACTATCTTTAATTGATTCGATAAACATTAGTTTTCAATCTTAACTTAGGTACCTGAACATTTGTTTTCTTCCCATTACTATCTTAATTTAGTGATATTTCTCTGTCTTCACTTCTCTATGAGTATCATTCTATTTGCCCATTGATGGAGGTCCACTATTAAAACGCCTAACCATTTTTGTCTGCGTCAAACTCTATACACAGTTCTTTTCCCACAGACTTGGCCTATCAATTCCTTTTCTTAATAATAATACTAATGTTTCTGAAACCGTGGCGCTGGTCGTCGATGACATAATATGAAAATATCAATGTATTATATTAATTATATTTATATTATTATAGGTAATATTATGTTGTTTGGTTGTGACGCTTTGTCGGCAAAGTCCAGTTTGCCAACAGAGTGGTCATTCGGCAAATCGGTGTGAACAAAACGGTTGTCGAAGAACGGTTTGTGGGCGGTTGAAAAACAAAACATTTACCACCGGACGGTAGTCATGATTTGTAGCGACCGGCTTAAGGCCCCAGCGGGTCACTACACACGGCTAGTGTATATTATGTGTATACACTCGTAGTTAACACGTCACTTGGCATATATATATATGTATATTATACACTCGAGACAGTTTTATTTTATAGTCGGTGTAATAATCTACACATCATTCACGGTAATCGCAGTGGCAGTAAAAAAAAAAACAACTATACACGCGTCGCTCGTAAAAAAACCAAAGGGAAACAGCTGCTGGCAACAAATATGTGTAACGGAACTGCAATAAACTGCAGTCAATTCGGTCAAACGCAACAACTCTATAATAATAATAATAATATGCGACCGTCCAGCAAAGCAACGTCCGACGGATAAATCAATCGAGTTTTGTCCCAGATCAATAATTTACGGCTTGTATAATCTTTACTCTTCGAGTCGTTAACTGATCGTACACGAAAACCCAAGTACACATTTAGTCTGGATAGGTCAGCAACTTGGCGCTCGCGGCTGGAGAGAAGGACATCCTCGAATATAGCCTTAAACGTTTGTGCTAGATTCGTTGCACTTCTTTATATAATATTTTTGTTCTCCTTCTGTATAAATTTCATTTTCTAAAATTGATCCGTCCAAGTACTCTTTTTCAAAGTAAGACGTTTTTTTCTCGTGTTCCTTTGCAGTTAATACATGCGTAGATATGTCAAAACTGGTCATAGGAAACTCGGGTTCAGGCGTTCCTTCGGTCGTCTAGTAAAAAGTTTTGACTGAGCTTTTAAAGGTATAATCATTCACGTTTGTGGCAGACACGTTCAGCTTTATTTCATCTTGCATATTATTCTATTGATTTATATATAACTCTTATGGCTTGCTGAAATCTGTAATTCTCTACTATTAGATCCGAGTCGTCTCCTGTCCTCCAGACATGACTAAATACAACGGTATTATCCGGTTTTATCGCCGGTACGTTTCTGAGTTAAACTTTGTAAAAAGTAACGCACGCTCTTTAGAGAAAAATCTAAATGTTCAATCACAACCTGCAAAGCTGATCTTTGCTCGATGAAAATGGTTTATGACGGTGATCAATTCTAAGATATAAATTGCGCACTGGTCAAAAGCACGAAGTCGGTCGATGAACATATTTATCTCCTAATGATATTGTTGCATAGTATTAATGACGATATTTTTCTGATCAAGTGCGCAGTATGCATATCCATCCTTTATCTGTATTTTATATACGTACAGAAAGTGACTGATGAACTCCTGGGCGTTGTTAAACGAAAAGTCAAACGGTTTAAGGCTAAAGGTTCAACGCGACAGAATGCAATATAGTAATAATAATATTAAGTGTGATATACTATTATATTATGCTGTTTAATATCTATTTGTTTACAATCAAGTCACCCATTTTTTTTACCGTTAAGAAATCGAATAGACAATAAACACAACATCTTCTTATCGACCACCACAAAATAGTAGTAAAATTACTATTACTACTACAGTAATAATAATTATTGCTGTATATTATTATGTTGTGAAGAATAAACCAAAACGGCGTACCTTCCTGATATATATTAATATTATAGCTTCGATCCAACTAAAATTATGGTTAACACAATAAATTTCTAGTTGCACTAAATAAATAAATAGTTGGGCCAACTAAATTGTTAGTTAAAGCATCTACACAATTAGTCTGACAGACTAAATGTTTAGTTGGACCAACTGTGTGTATTTTTTCCTTGTTCCAGCGAAGTTGTAGTGTGCTGCCAATAATAATTTATATAAAAGTTGTATGTAACCCTTAACCGAGCTGCCCCGTTCGGGTGGTGCTAATTCTTGTTACACATTTATTTACCGTCTCGCCGTAGAGCCGTTTTTATTTGTATTATTAATGTTGTACATAATAAATGAGTTTTGCACGTACAAACCATAATATTATGATATCCCAACATGTATCTAATGTATATAATGTATATAATTAATAATATATAGTATTATTTGTGCCATATATATATATTTATATATGCATAATGGTCGTGTTGTGGTTCTCGAAATCATAGCCCGCACCCCGGTCGAGCCACGAACGTAAAACATTCATTATAAAAAAAAGTTTTTCTTACACGGTCAAGTCTATATGCGTGTGTGCCACCCCTCCCACTTCCTCTACACCGGTATCGACACAAGAACCACTGCCTTCCTGTGTGCATATAAATATTTTGCGCTCTTCATCAGGCCGGGCCACCTTGTGAGCCTCGATCGTGCAAAACGATCCGCCCGCCAAGATTTTTTTTTTTTTGCGCTTCCAAGGACAACGATCGGCCGACCTTGGTCCGGTGAGTTTTTTACATGAACTCCAACGCATGCTTACGAAATATACACACAACAATAATATTATTTATTAAATAAAAAACCAAAACAAAAGAAAACTGCACGCAGTAAACGATGGACACGCGTGTGCGTCTCAGTAGACGGCGCACACGATGCGGTGTTATGATATACGATTTAGACTTAGCCTCTTATAGGAGTTAGCAGTAATGCAAATCAACTTACCTCGGGCAATTCTTCGAACATTTCAAATACACAACACGAAGGTAGAATACAAACACAACGCCTGAAGGAATCAATAGTTGACTGCTGACTCGATTCACGCATTGCGTAGACCAAATGGTTTCTAACCAGACAAAAGACAGACATTTAATATAATTAGAGCATAATGTAATTACATGATATTATTTTATTAAATTTATTCCATTCCATCTTCTTTTGAGTTTTGACCATTGCGGTGTCATCTGAGTGAGGGGGGCCATTGTCTGCTACTTCCTAGATATTTTGTACAAACGGAAAAGGTATAACATATTAACCACCTACCCAACACTTATGTGTAAATTAGTATAAATATGGATTTTCGAAGATTTCTTTTATGCTTTAGAATTTAGACTTGCTTTCAAAATTTTTCTAATGGTTTTAAGGCTGTTACTCAAGTCTAACCGAATATAATGTATAACATTTAAATTAGTGTACCAGATATACTATAGTTAAAAATTACAGAAAATATTCTTGTAATCAAAGATTTATTTGTAATACTTTGTAAGTATTTTAAATTTATTTCTTGAACCTAAAACAAAGGACTAAAAATATTTTTTTTATTTATTCAAATAAGTAATTTTTTTTATAGATTAGCTTAACGACATTCACGCTCTGTGTACGGTTGCCGAATAAAATTACATATTTTTTTTACGATTAAAAATATTTAAATTAATACATGTATACATGGAGATCATGTAAGATTTATAACTTTTATTGAAATTCTTAGTCTTCAGAGTTTTATAAAGGTCTGAGCTTCCTTAGGGCTTAACCCCCTTCATTATTTGAGCCAGTGGGCTCAATTCTTTTTTCTGTACACTATCCCTGAAATTTATATATTATTTTATCTTCTAAATTTTCCCAAGTTTTATAAAATGGCGTGCTTGCTATCCTTCGCACGCAATTTCATGAATTATTACAAATTCATGAAGTATATAATCAATTATCGGTTTGGATTTTAATAAAGTATAATATGTTCAAATAATAACAAACAGTACAAACAGATATTATTAAAATTGTATAGAGGAATCCGTCGAATCACGAACGCGCGCTGTTCCACGAATAATTTATTACAAATAACATTATAATTACTTTTGATAAGCGTGTGACACTGTAGTATTTTCCCAGAACTGTCATAGAAAAGACACATAAAAAATTATTATCTCGACGATCATACATAACTCTAGATGTACATTGTACATAATATTATATGGTTTGTTTTATCTCGTTTAAACATTATCGAGATTGCGCTATTAACGATTAAGTACAAGCCATTAAACAATATTAACTATCCGACTTAATGGGTTATAGTTTTTAAATCGCCCACATTAAATGTGATTTATATATTTAAACAATTTTTTTTACCCCTCGCTAATTGTTACATTGAACATTTACCTATATTAAATCATGTTTAATTTGGCCGCTTTGCGATTATAATTACAGCTGCTGCTGTAGAAGTGTGTACGCATTAATAATGATAGTTGTTATTAGGTACTTATTATTATTGGTTGTAATAGTAGCACTGTTAAATATCGATCGATTGTAAACCGATT